TACAGTCCATGGTGAATCATACTCTTAAAAAAGTTATTGTATTAAGTGAAGACAATTTAAAAACTCTGGATTCAGATCAAAATGTGCTCAATGGTCGTTTTATTCTAAAAGCAGGGTTTGATGGTGCATCAAGCCAAAGTTTGTATAAACAAAAGGAAGATAACACAGACATTGAGGAGGCTAAAATAAATGAAGAATCCCTTTTCCAAACTGCAATTGTACCTCTTAAGTTAAGTGTAGAAAGTAAAACAATTTGGGAGAATAAGAAACCAAATAGTTCTCATTTTTGCAGACCTCTTCGTCTTCAATACAAAAAAGAAACCACAGAACTTAGCAAGTCAGAAGAAAAACACATTCGTGATCAGATGGCTGATTTGGAAGATTATGTTGAGATTATTACACTTGCGGATGGAAGAAAAGTCAGTATCAATATAAAATCTCATGTTGAACTAACCATGTTTGATGGCAAAGTGGTTAATGCCTTAACCAACACAAAATCATCTGCAAGCTGCAATATTTGTGGTGCGAAACCATCAGAAATGAACAAGCTAGATCTAGTTAAAATTAAACCTGTGAATGATGATGCATCGTCCCTTGGTTTATCATCATTGCATTGTTGGATTAAATGTTTTGAATACATACTTCATTTAGGCTACAGACTGGAGATGACTATTCCAAAGACAGATGTCAGGTTAGCCGAAGAAAAGGTACTTGTTCAAGCTAGAAAAAAACTATTCAAGATAGGTTTAGAGCAGAACTTAGTTTACTGGTAGATGTTCCAAAAACTGGATTTGGGAATACAAATGATGGTAATACTGCCCGAAGAGCATTCATGCATGGTGAGGCTTTTGCTGACATAACAGGAGTTCAGGTTGAGTTGATTCTCCGGGTGAGGACAATTCTTCAAGCTGTTTGTTCAGGGTATGACCTAGATATTGATAGATTTAGCCAATACTGCAATGAGACTCTAGCCTTTCTAGTTAATAACTAAAATTGGTACAGAATGCCTCCAACTCTTCACAAACATCTAGTTCATGGACCTGCAATTGCTGAAAATCTAGAACTACCCATTGGTTATTATTCTAAGGAGGCTCAGGAGGGCCAAAATAAAGTGATAAGACATGCTAGGTTAAACCATTCATGCAAAATTTCCAGACTAAATGTAATGAAAAATCAATTTCAATATTTGCTGATCAGAACTGATCCAGAAATTTCATCGATCAACTTCATAAAACACAAATCTTCCAATGGAAACCCCTAGTCTGAACAAGTTCTTAACTTGCTGAAACACTAAGTTTAGTTTTTTTGTTTAAATCTAAATTATATTGTTACATGTTATATATGTTATATGTTACAACATACAGAAATTGTAGATATTTGTTTCTGAATAATGTAATCTTTATTGTTTTCACTGTTTACTGACAAAATCGGCTGTTATTAAAGGATTATATGTAGAGTGTTTATGAAAATTTGTCACTTTCTATTTAAATAAACTATATATATATTTATGAATTTGTCTCTATAAGTACAATGAAAAACGACAGAAAAGCATGTTGAGAAAGTGGGAAAAAAATTCAGAATTTGCAAATTTGCAAAAATATTTTGAAAAAAGAGTGCAAAATTATTTTTTGACTTTCGGGTTGGGTTACTGATTAAATTTTAATATATTTAGAGCCAAAAAAGGTTGAAATCCATTCAGAAACACTGATTTGAGGGTTTTTGCCGTTTTTCCGTAGCTGTGAGGCACTGTGCGTTGTGTGCCTGCTGGGATTGGACGTATTATGTATAACAGACTTTATAGTTATCTTGAAAAACATAATATCTTATTCAGCAAACAGCTTGGTTTCCGGAAAGGGCATTCAACACATCATGCAGTAACTGATTTAGCCAGTCAAATACTGGATGAGTTTGCTAAAAAATGTTATACACTCGGCTTGTTCATTGATTTGTCAAAAGCTTTTGACACTGTTGATCATAAAGTTCTCTTGTACAAACTAGAAACATATGGAGTAACAAATAACTAATTAAAATGGCTACAAAGCTACTTTAAAAATAGAAAACTAGAAGTATCTTATGATTCAACATGTACAAAGTTAGAAACAATAAGCTGAGGAGTTCCTCAAGGCTCTATTCTTGGACCCTTACTATTTCTGATATACGTAAATGATATCTATCTATCTTCAATCATGCTTATTTTTGTTCTTTTTGCTGATGACACTAATCTTTTTTATACCCATTCCAATTTAAAATCAATTTTCTTTACAGTTAATTGTGAGCTGGAAAACCTTAATGGCTGGTTTAAATCAAACAAACTTTCTTTGAATATCAGTAAAACTAAATATATTTTATTCCATAACCAATCTAAATCCAATGATTTGCCCCAGCAACTTCTTCAGCTAATAATAAATAACAATATAGTAAACAGAGTTTCATCACTTAATATTTTAGGAACAATATTTGATGAATAACTTAATTGTAAAAACCGTATTACGCTAATTGAGAACAAAATTTCTAAAACTATAGGCATTATGTATAAAACAAAACACCTACTAAGTAAAAAATGTTTAATAGATTTAATTATTATTTTATCCATAGCTACATTAGCTATTGTAATATTGCCTGGGCAAGTACTTACCTTACAGCATTGAAAAATATATATATTAAACAAAAACAAGCCAGTAGAGTTATATTTTATGTGCATAAATACGCCCACTTCAAGCGATTACTCCGGGAAATTAAAGCTCTTAATGTTTATTATTGAACGTATTCCAAAACTTGTTATTCATGTGTAAATATCAAAACGACATGCTTCCAAAATCGTTTAATAACCGATTTTTAAAAATTATTCATAAATACCTAACAAGGTGCTCTACCTATAATTTTAATTTATTTAAGTCAACTCTTAAAACATGTGACTACTCAATTTCATATAGAGGCCTTCGCCTGTGGAACATAGTTCTTAATGAAAATATGAAAAATATAACTTCAATAAATTGTTTTAAAAATATGGTTAAACAGTATTTACTTGAATTAACAGAGACAAACATATTTTTGCATTTTTAAGTAAAAAAAAAAAAAAAATCATGTAATATTTCTTAATATATATGATTATTTATCTTTTGCAATTTATGGTATTCTTGTTGTAATAATGTGTTAACTTGTTTTTTTATATAACGAGTATTTGCAAATTTATATAATAAGAAATTTGTTAAAAGTACATTACGCTAACTATAGAAGCTTGATGACAAGACTTCTGTCTTCTACTTGCTCCTGTCGTTATTAATTTTTTTTATTTAAATTTTATTGATGAAAATTGTAAAACAAGAACGTTGTAAAATGTTTATAAAAGACGAATTATATAAAATAAAAATAAAAAATTATTCAAATTTCAACCCTTAATGCACATGAAAATTGAAAAAATTACTTTCTGTACTTCTAGCTAAACGTCTCTTAACCTTGGCAGGTTTAGCAACAAAATTTGTAGTTACATGCGTAAAACTTTTGTTTATATTGACGGAACTTTAAATGCGTTGCTTCCCAATTCACAATGTAATTAAATTTATTAAAACAGTTATTTAGCGAGACAAATTTTAGTGTATAAATGAAACAAACTTTTTTTATGTTTTTTTTAGGAGGTATTTTCCATATGAAATGGAAATAAAACTAGTATCAACTGCATGCAAAGATGGTTTGCTACTTAGAGAACATGTATAAATATATTTACTAAAAAAAACTATTTATATCAATTCACCAAAACGAGTTATCAAATTATTTAAATTGCCTATATTGTTATGTATATATATAAAAAATGTGTTTTTTTTAATACAGAAAAGTATTAATATTGTAATATTTATCTAAGTGTCACAAAATTATTCAACGAACGAAAGCAAAACTAATTCGAAACTCTTTTTGTTTGTTCAAGATCTTTAAAAAGTTTTGCGATTTTTTTATTTCGCCTATTGTAGTGTCTGTATCAGTTCGCGTTCAGTGTAAATAATGTTAATATGTTTTATAATTGGTCAAACTATGTTTATATTACATATTAGTCAACAGAAATATAATTTTTCTGATTATTTTTGCTAAAAAGTACCATTAAAATTTCGAAATTCTGCCAAGTTCATCATTTTGCGCGTTTATTTAAAAATCAGTGCAGCCTTGGATTATTATATTGAATTATAAAATATAAAACGGTGTTCATATTCTTTTTACAGAACGTATTTATCTTTAATATTTCAAAAGTTATAAAAGTTTTAGTAACACCCCCTAAGTAAATATTTTCAAAAGAAAACAAGAAGCCGTATGTCCACTCTTAAACAGCCGTGAACAAATTATAACTATCTATAGAAATAAAAATAACAAATATGAACCTAGTAGTTATCCAATTTAACAATTTCCAAACAACTTTCTAATAATTATTTTAAATTTTAAAAACCAAAATAATTTTAACCATTATTTTTTTATATTTCATTTATTAATTTTCTTTTCATTTTAGTTTTACGATAAATTAATTTTTGTTATTGTTTTTTGTACAAATTTATGTACCTTTTAGTCCTTAACTACCCAATCCTGTGTGCTAGAAGGTTAATAATACAGCTGCATGGTAGGCAGCTGAATATCTTTTTAAAATAAAAAATTATAAATAAATTTTTCAAAAAGATATCACAAATTTACAAATGCTGCATGAACTATTAGCTGAGCTCTGTGCGTACACACAAGTCATGGTTTCCTTCTAGAATTTTTTTTATATTCAATTAATGTACTTTACTAAAATCACTAAACATATATATATATACCCTTACAAAAAAACCCAGCGAACTTCCAGCGAAAGTTCGCTGGAAATTAAAAGATCACTGGAAATTTACTAAGATCACTGGGTTTTCGCTGGATTTCCATGAAAACAAAAGACTTCGCTGGAAGTTCGCTGGAAATCCAACGAAAAACTTCCAGTGATCTTAAAGTTCGCTGGAAGTTTACTGGGTTTCTTACGAAATATTTCGCGTTGCTGTTACAACTTCTGCAAGCAGTTAAAACTTGGAAAATTGATAATATAGCTTCTTAAAATAATATTTCAAATTTTTGTATAAAAGTAATCCTTTTTATTTTATTTTTTGCATCTAATAGATGATCTATAGTGTGAGTTTCAATTATTATTAGTTCTACTCAAGTTACAAAACAAAATCATCTGGTATGTTGCTCAAAATGTTTATTTCTCTTAAGTATTGTTTATTATGCATTCGCTTGATGCGAATGCATTTTATTTATTAAATTCAACTTTATTATTTTATAAAAATAATTTTTATAAATGTCTTTATGATTAAGTGTTTTATATTAAAAATAATAAATAACAATCTGTTTCTCTCTCTCGCTGAAAGAGAGGGATATATAATATATATCCCTCTCTCTCTCAGTATATATATATATATATATATATATATATATATATATATATATATATATATATATATATATATATATATATATATATATATATATATATATATATATATATATATATATATATTTATATATATATATAATTATATATATATATAATTATATTATATATATATATATATATATATATATATATATATATATATATATATATATATATATATATATATATATATATATATATGATATGTTAGTGTATTCTACAAATAGAGTGCTCAACGTTCTTAAAGAACAGAGCAATAATAAATTAGTAAAAACACTTATCTAATTTTTATTTTCTTCTACAGCTTGTTTCTCCATCAGTAGGATCATCAGGAAGGAATCTTTCTGATGATCCAACTGATGGAGAAACAAGCTGTAGAAGAAAATAAAAATTAGATAAGTGTTTTTACTAATTTATATATATATATATATATATATATATATATATATATATATATATATATAATATATATATATATATATATATATATATATATATATATATATATATATATATATATATTTGTGAAGTTGCTTTAAGTACTAATAAGCAATGTACAAAATGTTTGAAATATTTTACATTATCCTATCTTTATAAGAAATGCAGTTATTTTCATATTTTAAACATAAACAAACAGCATAAAAACATGTGTGATAACAATTGGATACATTTAGCAAGTCTTGAAGAAAATGTGCAAGCAACAATTAGACTTGTTGTTAATACTGATGGAATTCCTGTTTTTAAATTATCAAAGTGGACCTTGTGGCCTTTGCTAGCATCCATTCATAATTTTCCATATTCATTGCAAATTACTAATATTTTGTTTTTTGGTTTCTGGTCCAGTTTTAAAAAACCAAACGTGCAATTATTTTTATCTTGTTTTGTTGATTTTTTACTAACCTATCCACTACTGGTATACTCTTATCTAATAATGTTCGTGTTTTTTTTCATGTATCTATTTTTTTGTGTGATACAATTGCAGGAGCTATGGTTTTTTGTTGTAGGTAGTTTAATGATTATAATGGTTGCCATTGGTGTTTTTCTCAAGGGGTAAAAGTTAAAAAAAGGTAGGAGGTCTTGTATGACTTATCCATTTTCTGATGTTAATGGGAGTTGTAGAAACCATACAGATTTTTTTTGGATTAATGTGATTAAAGGGTTTTTAGATTTTTCTACATTTGTAAGAGTACCTAATTTTAATTGTGAAAATGGAACAGTTGTTAATAATCTGCACTGTATTGAGCTTGGTGTTATTATTCTGGTTATATTTTTTCTATTAGAAGACACTGTACTATTGTAAATAATCTTTTATCTGCAATCAGTGTGCCAAGCAATATAAGACAGACTCGATGATCATTAAGTTGTATAAAGCATTGGAAAGGTATTGAGTTTTTTACTTTTTTAGTTTTTTATGGTCCTGTTATTTTATGTGATGTTTTGCCTCCTCAGTTTTTTGACCATTTTACTCTTTTATCTAATATTGTTTTTACGTTGAACAATAAGGTATTATCTGAAAGTGTAATTTATGAAGCCACATTATTAGTTAATAGATTTTTTTATGAGTTTTCTGATTTGTATGGTAAAGAAATGATATGTTTTATATTAAAGAGTTATTTTAAAGCAGTTATATATATACAGAGCTTTTTTTAAAGCAGGTATTATATTTTAATGCAGTTTTTATTTAAGTAAACTAAAATCTCTCTCTCTCTCTCTCTATATATCTATCTATCTATCTATATATATATATATATATATATATATATATATATATATATATATATATATATATATATATATATATATATATATATATATATATATATATATATATATATATATATATATATATATATATATATATATATATATATATATAAAATGTATGTATATATATATATATATATATATATATATATATATAAATTTTATACAGTATTTATTATATGTTTTTATAAAATTGTTATTGATGTCCTTTAAATATTGTATAAACCATCTTATTTTTTTTAGCTTTAAAGACCCAAACAAAAATACTTTTAAAGTCAATTTTCGCAATTCTGTTTGTTTTGTTATGCTAATTTGTCAGTAGAGAACCAACAGACCACTGGCTTCATAATTTTTCCATCTAAAATTATACTAAAATATCCTAATAAATACAATTTGAATTAGATGATATAAGTTATCAGAGAAAGTAAACAAAGTACACTTATTCGGAATAAAAAATGTAACTACTGCCATTTGGTTCTCGACTTTTTTGAAATGGGCTAAAAAACATGCTTAAGCATCATATTGCCTATAAGATATACTTACTGCAATATTTTTTTTTTTCACTAATATACAGGTTTAAGTTTTGCTTTATAATGACTATTATGTTTTTTGCAGATTTAAATATCTATATCAGTACAGAAAAGTAGAGCTGTATGATTTTTTGTTTTGTTGATTTAAACAGTTGAAAATTTAAAAAAAAATTAGTTTAAAAATTGTAAAGTTCCTTACAAAAAAAAACCAGAAAACTTCCAGTGAAAGTTTGCTGGGTTTTTAAATTAAAATATATATATATATATATATATATATATATATATATATATATATATATATATATATATATATATATATATATATATATATATATATATATATATATATATATATATATAATTAAGTTTTTATTATTTTATCTATAATTATTATTTTTATGCAGGATAAAAGTGATAAAATGCTATTGGTTGGAAATTGATAAATTAATAAAAAATGATTGATTCTAATTGCGCGAAAATATGTTGGTATGTTTTTATCTATCTTATACTGTTTTATTTTTGCTTATCATTTCACATTTTGTCTTATTTTGAATATTATGTTTTATATAATTATTAGTTAGTGTTTGTAAAACACTAACTAATTTTGATTGCTTTTAGATTTTGGATACTGCCTCTACCATTAAAAAATTAAAAATAAAAGAAGCACTTCATATTAAATGGGAAAATCCTAAATATAAATTTATCTAACTAACTTACTACATTATTATTGTTATTTTAATATTAGGAGGTTTATTTTGTCATAATTTGTAATAAAATTTTTAATTGATTTGTAGCAAGTTTATTCGTCCATTAATTTTTTCTCTGTATTGTCTTCAGTTTTTAAATTTATTTACCAGAATATATATATATATATATATATATATATATATATATATATATATATATATATATATATATATATATATATATATATATATATATATATATATATATATATATATATATATATATATATATATATATATATATATATATATATCGTAGAAGAAAGTCACTTAATAGAAAATTTTTTAAAAGTTTTCGATGTAACAGTGTAAAATGAAAAAAAATTTTTGTTAAGTAATTTTCTACTTATTTATAATTGCTCTGTTCTTTTAAGAACATTGAGCACTCTATTTTGTAGAATACATTTTGAATATTGTTTAAATATATATATATATATATATATATATATATATATATATAATATATATATGTTCTTTATTTATTGTATGCATTCTTTTTTTTTTTTAGCTCTAAAGACCCAAACCGAAAAGAATGCCTAAAGTGGTTTTCAAAAGATGAATTGACGAATTTCTTAATTCTTTTTGTTTCGTTGTGATAATTTGTCGTATGAGAACGCTAACGAGAAAAAACTTTTTAAATATAGAAACATGCGTAATATAAAGTTTACTTATGCCTATAAAAAAATATGTTTTACATTAATTAATAAATTAACTTTTTAGTTTCTTGTTAAAAATTGTATTCTGTATTGAAGTTTATTTCTGAGAATTTGTAATTATACCTAAGATAATCTAATCCTACATTGTATTTTAATTTATAAAACTCGATATTTTAAAATAAATATATTACTTTTTTATCGCGCTTAACTTCTCTTATTTCGCGTTTATTGGTTAAAAAATTTTAAAATGTTTATAAACTTTTGAAACTTTTATAGCAAAAATAAAAAATCTTTTTAAAAAAAACTTCCAGCGAATCTATTTTTATACATAAACATGAAAATTCGCTAGAAAAGTTCACTGGAAGTTCGCTGGGTTTTGGAACAAGTTCGCTGGAAATTTCCAGCGAACTTCCAGTGATCTTTAAAGATCACTGGAAAAGTTCGCTGGAAGTTCGCTGGGTTTTGGAACAAGTTCGCTGGAAATTTCCAGTGAACTTTAGAGATCACTGGAAAAGATCACTGGAAGTTCGCTGGGTTTTGGAACATTTTTTCGCTGGAAGTTCGCTGGGTTTTTTTGTAAGGGTATATATATATATATATATATATATATATAATATATATATATATATATATATATATATATATATATATATATATATATATATATATATGTTTTGTTAATAATTTTTCGTAACATTTGGAAAATTCAAGTCTTTGGTTTTGAACATGTTTGCGTAGGCTTTGACCTTAAAACTCTTTTTCTTTGCCTTAAAACTCTAAGCCTTGGCCTTGGTCTTGCTACTTTTGGCCTTGTTAACAACTTTGCCAGACATATAGCTTTACACTGTTTTGTTTACAGTCTAAATTGATTTTTTTACTTTGCAGATTGTTGTTTCTTCACTCTTGAATTCAAACCAAATTTTTCCTAGAGAGCAAGATTTATTTATGTTTCTCGATCATTTGGCATCTCAGTAACTTTTACTGCAAATAAAGCATTAGCATCTTATTTATACAACTATTTCAGAGTCATCTCAATGTGAGCAAAAGCATTTCATAGTTCTTTAATTGTTTCTTATTCTTTATCAAAAACATCAAATTTTTGCTCAAGATTATCGCAACATTGACTTCTTTGCAAGCTTTATAAAATCTTCGTAGCCTTTTAATATTTTTTTACTAAAAAAATATTTTCTTTTTAGAGGACTGAACTAAATTAATATAGTGTTAAAGATTGAAATTACAAATTAATAAAAATATTTACAGTTTTACAAACCTTAGTAAAAATTGCATTGACATCAAAAACCAGGTTTAACAATATTTTTAATAATACGTCCTACTTCTGTTTTATCATAATATCATCTCTTTATTTACATCATCAATTAAATCATAATTTATTTTATAAGATTTTTTGTATATCATAAACACAAAAATGGATAAGATGTGAAAAACAGGCATCTGAATGGGTCTCTTTCGCAAAATTTGCAAATTTTTCTCGAAGCAAAATTTTATTTGAATCTTTGTTTGAAGGAAATAGAAAAATTTCTGTTTGAATTTCACAACAATAATGATAACTAAACTGTAGATAATGCGCATTTTATTATTTTCTGTTTTGTCGTACAAAAAATATTTCTAAACGTGTAAAATTCTTTTATAACTAACATCATATTAAAAATATTAAAGTAGCTATTTCTGCCTTAAAATTAAACAAGTCTATCGAGTCATTTGGTATCTCAGCTGAACATTTGAAGCACGCAAATTGTGACGCATTGACACAATGGCTAATTAATTTTTTCAATTTCTCAATCAATTATGGTTGTACTCCGAAATCAATGTCTTCATCTGACATTTTATCACTAGTTAAACCATATAAAAAGTCCTTAGTAAACTCAACTAAATATCGAGGTATTAGGTTAATACTTATTTTTACAAAAATTTCAGAATATCTGATTTTAATAATATGTACGGAGATCAAGAACACTCACCCGCTACTAAGTCCGGAGATCAAGAACACTCACCCGTTACAATTAATATTAAATCTAATTCTTCAATCCTTCATGCAGAATTTGTAATTAGTGAAACTATTAAACATTACAATACTAAAAATTAACTTGTTTATTTATGCTCCTTGGATGCCAAAAAGGCCTTAGATAGCTGTAACTGGGAAATTCTCTTTGATAAGTTAAGATAAGTACCTTGATAAAAAAAACTAGAACAACCTTTTCATTATACTATAAAAGTAGTACAACTGTCTCATACCAAGGTTGCAAATTAAATAAATTTTATCTTAAACAAGGAGTAAGATAAGGTTCAATTCTATCACCGCATCTTTATAATATTTAACCCAGGACCTTCTCAAAATCACAAAAAATGAAAGTTACGTCTATATATGGTAACTTTACTGGTATGGTAGCGTACGCAAATGATATCATACTTTTAAGTATAATATCATTAAATTTACTTTTAAATTTACACAATAGACTAAAACACTTAGGGTTTACATGGGATACGGAGCACTCTACATTTGCCTTACTTGATCGGGTAAACTTTGTTGAAAAAATATCTAAATTTAGGGCAGCTGTCTAAACTCTTATCTGGAATCCGTTTTGCTCATTCAAAATCCATAACACAATTAAAACAAACCTTGATAGTACCAACATTAACTTACGGTCTGAAACTTTGTAAAATCAATAAGGTAACAATGCAAAAATTCGTTTTATAGTGGTGGAGGATAAAATGCCAAAAGGTATTGAGAAAAAAATTAAAATACTCATCAGATTTGTGGTACATAAAAGAACAGAGAAACATTTTAAAGAAAACTTTTCAAATTAACATTCCAAAATGATTTCTTTTCTTCTTTTCAAAGTTTAAACATTTGTTTTTGTGTGTACTTTTACCTTGTACAAGTATTTTTCAGTAGGTGGTTAAGAAAAATAATAATAATCATCGAATCATTTTCAAAAAAAGACTTCTATTGTTAACTAATTTTTTTTCCTGTTATTTAGGTACACCAAGAAAAACTAGCCACAGAGCATCGCGTAAGTGCATTTAACTAGAAAATTCACGCCTCCTTCCTTACCGTGACGCGAAAATATGTCGAGAGTATGTTTCGACTTTTAATTCGTATTAAAATAACAGTTTTACTCTACAGGTAATTTTTATTTATAATATCTTATTCTTATTTAAAGTATCTTATTTTTATTTATAACATCTTATTTTTATTCATAATATCTAATTTTTATATATAATATATTATTTTTATTTATAATATCTTATTTTTATTTATAATACCTTATCATACTGTTTAGCGTATTAAATATCTGCATGGAATTGTTTTGTAATTTACTTCATTCCTTTTTTTCAAGTTTTGATTTTTTTTTAATTATTAGTATTAACTAACTGTGATAATGTAAACAGGTCTCGGCGGTAAGGCAGCATATGTCTTCTCTTTCCTCCGGTTATTTATTTTATAAGCACCATCTCTTTGTAAATATAACTTTAAAGCAAAGAAAATTAGAAAAAAAAACGTGCAAAACAACTGCCTTTTTTTTCTTTATCTTTATTTTTATTTTTTGGTATACTTGTTAAAAATTTTTATGTTAATATTTTTATTAACATTAACTATAAAATTATTTAAAAAGTTAAAAAAAAATTAAAAAAAACCCGCCAGATTATTCTACAGAACAACACACAGACGAGCCTTAGTAATAATAATGTTGCATAAACTATATTTATAATTTTAAGGGTAATTTGATTTAGAGCAAATTTATATGATTTATCTTTATATAAAAAGTTTTTTAGTTGTTTTTTATTTTTTGTTTTTGTCTTTTTAAGAAATATCTTTCTTTAAAGGAAAACTTCATTATAATCAAAATGCTTAGCGCTGCTTACACGCAACTTAATATTCTTATACGAGCGCGTTTAGAGGAGTTAATGTTTGTGATTAAAGTTTACTATATATTATTAATATTTACTATTATATATTCTTCTTACTATGCATTCGTTCCTACTTGACTAATAAAATACAAATTTTTGAATAAAATATTTTTATAACAGCCTATATATTATTGCAAGATAAAGCAAAAAAACATTTAAAGTAACGCGTTTAAACAAAATAAAAAAAGGTTTAGAAATTATAATTAATTTAAAATGCCATAAAACGCTTAAATTCAATTTAAATGTTAAATCTAAAATTATACCTCAAAATGTTTTAAACCACGTTGTTACGTATTCTGTAAAAAGAGTGTTATGAAAAAGTTAAAAATAACTGGATTCAAAACATAAAATAAACAAACGTTAGTTAAACAATAGTTTATGTTTAATCTGCTTTTAACATAATTGAATGTTAAACAAATAAACATTTAAAATAAGAAAATATATATATATATATATATATATATATATATATATATATATATATATATATATATATATATATATATATATATATATATATATATATATATATATATATATATATATATATGTATAATATATATATATATATATATATATATGTATATATATATATATATATATTATATATATATATATATATATATATATATATATATATATATATATATATATATATATATATATATATATATATATATCTATACACATACACACACACACACATACATATATTACATTTATATATATATTTATTTACTTATATATATATATGTATATATATATACATATATATATATATATATATATATATATATATATATATATATATATATATATATATATATATATATATATATATATATATATATATATATATATATATATATATATATATATATATATATATATATATATATATTATATATATATATATATATATATATATATATATATATATATATATAGTACTACTTAAAATTATAATTTAAAATTAGAACTTAGTTTTTTTAAGAACAAGAAACGGCAATGGAAATTTTATTTAAAAACTAATTAAAATTTCTTATAAAAGATGGGATGGGAGCTTGCTGTCGTCTACATATATTTTTATATGACTTATAATTAAGTCCGGTAAATCGTTAATGTAGAGCACAAAAAGGAGCGGACCTAAAACTGAGCCCTGGGGTACTCCGCGAAACACTTTTCTTCAGGGTGATAACGTATTAACTATTTTGACACATTATTCTCTCTTTGTAAACCAATTTTTTATCCAATTATGTAGTTGACATTGAATCCCATATGCCTTCAGTTTATATAAAAGCCTTTCGTGCGGTACCTTATCAAACGCTTTTAAAAAGTCTGCTTAAATTATATCTGCTGTAAAACCCTGATGCCTCAGTAAACCACGTTTCAGCAAGAAAAATAAGATTTGGACGGTTATGCTTGTTGGTTGATTATATTCTAACTTTCAGCTCGTCAATTTTCGTTTGATTTAGTAGGCATGGATTACTTGCCCAAAAAATGATGTTATTGGAAACCCTTACTGAATAAATTTTCGATAATTCGGGCTGATGAGAAGTGACAGTAAAACGATTAGTTGATGGTGATGGTCGAGGTGGGCGTTTTCTTTTAACATTGAGGCTTGATGGTTGTACCAGTTGGGATTTTTGAGGCTGATTCAAAGTTTGTTCTAGCTGGGGTTGTGGGTAAATTTGCATCAACATTCTTTGTTGTGATTTTTGATATTAATTCATTCTTCAGATTTTTTAATGAGAAGTACTTTTCTTAGATTTCTTCTTTGCCTTAATAAAGATCTCACTTTTCGTAGCATTTTATCGAGAAGTTAAATGTAGTGTTATAACTTTATCATAGCATTTTGTAGCATTTCATTAAAAAGTTAAATGTAGTGTTTTGACTTTATAAACTAACTGGTTTTATTTTTTGATCAAAGTTCATATATCCAAGAGGCAAGAGGATTTTTAAATTGTTGTGAAACAACGAATTCCCCAGGGCTCTATTTTAGGACCTCTGTTTTTTTCTAGTGTACATTAATGATTTAAATTTAGCAACAGACCTATTAAGTTGTATTCTTTTTTGCAGATAATTCCAATCTTTTTTATTCCCACAGAGATACCAATAAACTATTTAAAACAACAAACGAACAATTATCGAAAGTTATGAGTGGTTTAAAAGTAATAAACTTTCTCTGAATGTGGATAAAACCAAATTTATTTTGTTCCACAAAGTGAATAATTTAAAAAATATTTCCATCAAATTGCCTAATTTAATAATGAATAACACTAACATTAAAAGAGAAAACTCAGTAAACTTTCTAGGCGTAATCTTAAATGAACATTTACGTTGGAGTTTACACATAAAAAGCATTGAAAATAAAATATCAAAAAATTTAGCAATGATATATAGGACTAAACCATTTCTAAACAATAATTCTTTAAAAAGTTTATATTTCTCTTTTATTCATTGTTACTTAATTTATTGCACAAGTACAAACCATACAAAATTTAAAAAATTGTACTGCAAACAAAAACACGCGTGGAGAACAGTATTTGGAGCTGACAGAACTGTACCTTGTGAGCCTCTTCTGCGTATACTTGGAGCACTAAATATATATAAAATCAACTTACACCAAGTTTTAATGTTCATGTATAAAACAAATATAGAATTATCTCCTAAAATATTTCAATCCTATTTTGACAAAATAGTTCATAAATATCCAACAAAATTTTCAAATAACAACTTTGTTGTCCCAAAATATAATTCAAAACTAACTTCATATTCAGTTCTTTATCGTGGACCTTACTTGTGGAAAATGTTTCCCAAGATTGTAAATACACATAAAACTAGTATAGAACAATTTAAAAATGAATCAAAACAGGCATTTTTACTCATGGATTTTAATATATCTGGTTTTAAATGTTTTTTTAACTAAAACTCAAATACAAAAAATTATTAATACAAAAATTATGTCACTGAGTGTATCAATATTATTTTTTCATTACCTTAATTATGGTATTACCTCTATGGCTTTTGCTAATTTATTTACGTTATTTCTAGAATTATACTAATTTATTTTTGTTTTTTCTATGGTATACTTTTTTTTTTTTTTTTTTTTACTTATTATTTTTAAATCTTAGTTTAAACTTTTAAGTTTTAAGCAAATGATAATATCTTATTTATTTATTTATTTATTTTTTTCACTTGATCTTATTCTTTCTTTAAATTTTGATTCTTTTTATTGATTCTTTTTATTTTTTCTTTAAATGACAACGAATTTTTATCTATTTTACTTTTATATATTTTTTTTTTTAACAAATAGTTTGTTAACTAAAGATATTTAAATATTACGGTTTTTGTAAATACGTGAGAATGGGGCTCTGTGATAAGGCTAAATATGTCTTCTTCTTGCCCCGCCAATATTTGTTTTTATTTATATGCTTTGAAATTGTATATTATTAAAACGGCAAAATAAACAATAAAAAAAAAAATAAAAAAAACGCACAAAAAAGAAGTACATCAACAAACTTTGTCAATGAATAAAACATTCATTGGGTAAAAAAAGTATTCGATTGACACAATTGTGCACGTACTTTTCCTTTTCATGATCCTACAATCGCATCAGAGAAGATTTAAAACTTCTATATTTACTTTTACTTTAGAAAGATTTATATTTAAATTTAAGTCTTTAGATGATACTACTTATATCAAAAATGTTAATGAGGTTTAAGTTAAGCCCATGTTGCAGTACCATAGTAACCTTATTGTTTAATAAATCAGTTTACAAACCTTATCTGCCAGCAAATATATTACTGAACTTTTTGGTTGTAACTTTATTTAATGGACCAAAATTTCTTTACAAAATGTTACCATTCAGAGAAACAAGTTCTTGAAAAAGTAACTATATATCGTACAAAGTTGTAATTAAAGTCTAAGAATAGTTCAGATGTGTTAATCAATTTTGGTTCTATTCACTCTTGTCCAAAATGTAAATTTTCACCAAGAGAAGCTATTTGCCACATTATTGATAATTTACCTGCTCTTGGCAATTCATTGACTGTTGATATTAAAATGTCATTAGTATATATTGCTGGATACACAACTAGTCAGACGACACCTTATATTTATATGAAGCATATGGCAATTTTGTAAAGGATATAAATTAAATAGGTTAAACTATTTCTGGTGACAAAGTTTACAAATCTGCAAGTTACTGTTACATTCTTTTTTATTAAGTATACAATGGCACTTGTTGGTCATCACTATGTAATCTCCTTATGATGGTATCAGATTATTTTATTAGGTATAAGAAGACATCGTGGTCTAACAATGACAAATATTTATTTAAACAATTTTCGAACCCGAAACACGATCCTTAACAAACAAGACCGCTGTTCGGAGAAACAACTTACTAAATTGTCAAATTACAATTAGTCTTAGATAAACCTGAGTTTAATTAAAAAATAATATTCGATAAAAACGCGTTTGTTATAAACAAAATTAAAGAAAAGGTTAATAATAGGCACTGAAACGATTTTATTATTAACATTATCTCTCACTATAATTAAGCAGATAATCGGTACAAATAAATGTCAAAATCATAAATTGCCAGAAAAACTTTTAGTTGACGGGGATATAATTTATAATAAAGAAGTCATAATTAACAAGCTCAACAAATTTTTTTTTGATATTGGACCAAAATTAGCTGATAAAATTCCAAAAACCAACTAAAACAACTTCGAATCTTATATAAATACACCCAACACATCTATGATAGAATGTAATTAAAACTTAAGTGAGATGCGCAATGCTTTCAACTGTCTAAAAAATAATAAATGTGCGGGCATTGATAAAATTAGCGTAAATGTAGTTAGAGCTGTGTTTGATATTATTGAACCATCACTGTTTCACATTTTTAATCTTTCTTTAAAATCCGGTATTGTACCGGAGAAATTAAAAATTGCTAAGATTATACCTATTTTTAAAAATGGCGACGATACAAATATATTATAGACCTATTTCTGTCTTACCATGTTTCTCTAAATTGTTAGAACGAATTATGTATGATAGACTTAACAACTATTTAACTGAGAACAATATTCTGTATAATAAACAATTTGGGTTTAAAAAGAATCATTCAACGGACCATGCAGTAGTCGATCTAATAAATTATGTATCCAATGGGTTCAATAATGATTGCTATACTTTAGGAGTTTTTATTGATTTGTCAAAAGCATTTGACACTATTAATCATGATATTCTGATAAAAAAACTAGAAATGTATGGAGTATTAAACAATAACTTACAATGGTTTAAAAGTTACCTTTCAAACAGGAAACAATACATAATATATACAGAAAATGAAGAAAAAAAACATATCATAACTTGTGGTGTTCCCCAGGGATCAATCTTAGGGCCCTTATTATTCATACTTTTCATTAATGATTTGTATTTAGCATCCAAAATTCTAAACGTTATTTTTGTTTGCTGATGACTCAAATCTTTTTTACTCTAACAGAAATATTAAAAATCTGTTTAGAATTTTTAATGAAGAGTTATTAAAAATAAATGAATGGATTACGAATAATAAACTTTCATTAAATGTTGGGAAAACTAAATTTATGTTGTTCCACAAACCTAGTAAAGGTGATAACCTTTTTTTAAAACTACTTGATCTCTTTATGAACAAAAAAGTTATTAAAAGAGAGTCAACTATTAACTTTCTAGGAGTGATATTAGATGAAAATATATCATGGAAATATCATATTAGATCTATTGAAAATAAAATCTCCAAAAATATTTCAATGCTATATAAAGTTAAACCTTTTCTTAATACGGAATCTTTAAAAATTATATATTTCTCATTTATTCATAGTTTTCTTTCCTATTGTAATCTTGCATGGGCAAGTACCAATTATGGGAAGCTCAAAAAAATTTATAGCAAACAAAAACATGCTTGTAGGATTATTTTTGGCGTTAACAGAACTGTTAATGGTGAATCTCTTTTAAAGAAACTTAATGTGCTTAATATTTACAAACTTAATATATACCAAGTTATGCTATTTACGTTTAAAACAAAACATTCGTTATCTCCTAATATATTTCAGTCTTACTTTACCGAAATATCTCTTAAATATCCCACTAAATTTTCATCTAATAATTTTTTTATTCCAAGATCTTATTTAAAACTCAATTCATTTCAAATTCAATACCGGGGACCATTTATATGGAAAGGTTTTTTAAAAAATATAATTAAAAATAAAATTCTTCGAGGCATCTCCTTAGAACAATTCGAAAGAGAATCTAAACGTTTTCTATTAGAAAAAACTTTCGATTTTAAAGATTTTTTCTAAAATCACCTAAAATAATTAAACCTGAAAAAGTTATCACTACTCATTTACTATTGTCTTGTGTATCTTGTTTATTTCTTATTAAAATAAAAAATATATATACTATTAATTTTGAACAGACAAATAACATTTATTCGATTTATTATTAGTGTCTTATATTTGTCGAACTAATATTGTATTGTACTTCAATTTTTAACCTTTTAGTTTTTAACTTGTAACTTTGTGACGTTAATGTAAACGGGGCTTGGCGATAAGACAGTTTATGTCTTCTCTTGCTCCGGCCAATTTTTATACATGAATGGTTTTTTCTCATTGTAAATTTAATTATACGGCAAAGAAAATATAATAATAATAATAATAATAATAATAATATAAGTAATAGCAAAGTAAGGAAAATACATATTTTTTACTTATTTTTTTAAATACTAGAAAAATATGTAAAAATACACAGAGCCCATTTTTCCATTATGGGGCATATTGGGCCAAGAGTACAAAAAGCTCTGTTAAAACCGTAAAAAGTAACTTTAGTTAAAGAAAAAGAGATTATACAAATTGTTAGAGTAAACCAATTCATTTACATTTATAAATATCAAGAAAATATGTAAAATTTCAGGGCTTCTTTCTCCGAACCAGGTCCAGAATGGTCCGGTACATTTAAAGCTCTATAAAAATAATAAAAAACGGACAAAAGCTTTTTCATATTGTCAGAGTTTATACATATTTATAAAAATCCAAAGTATATGTAAAAAACCCGGTACTCGTTTGCAATGCAATGAAATTTCTGTAAAAACAAAAAAAATAAAAGAACGATAGTTTTTTCATATTGTAAAAGTGAATAAATTCATATAGGAGAAGTTTGCATAAGAGCAGGCTTCTCAGATGATATAACCTCTTTTACGGGTACACTAATGATTTTCGCAAACTTTTTTGCTTAAGGATATTCATACAAGTTCGACGGTGTCATTTATTTTAATTTTTTGGTTGTATAGTTAATATTTTTTGATTATTTTACTGTTAAAAAAATTTATTATCCCCGATATAACTTTTTATTATTTAATTTTTTGTAATTACGTCAGAACGAAACAAGATCATCAAAAATGTATTACATTCTCAATATTTTATGCTTATTTAATATTTTATGCATTATTTATGCTATTGCAATATTGCATTGGGAAGTACCAATCATGGAAAGCTAAATAAATTTAAAGCAAACAAAAATATGAAGTAGAATTATTTTTGGTGTTAACAGAACTATTAATAATGAATCTCTTTTAATGGAACTTAATTTACTCAATGTTTAAAAACTTAATATATACCAAGTTAGAATAACTTGGTATATATGAAGTTTATGTCAAAACATGATTTATAATGTTTATGTCAAAACATGATTTATCTCCTAATATATTTCACTCTTACTTCACCGAAATTACTCATAAATACCCCACAATATTTTCAACTAAAAGTTTTGTTGATCCAAGATCTTATTTAAAACTCAGTTAATTTCAATTTCAACACCGTAAAGCATTTATATGGAATATTTTTTTGAAAAATATTATCAAAAATAAAACTCTTTTAAACTTCTCCCCAGATCAATTCAAAAGAGAATCTAAAAGATTTCTATATAAAAATAACTTCGATCTTAAATTTGTTTTTATTATTTTATTTATTTTAGTACCTAAAATAATTAAACTAAAAAAAGTCATCATTACTCACTTATTTTTGTTTTGATAAGTTTCTTATTTTCTTGTTATAAAAATAAAAAATAAATAACTAAAAGAAAATATATCTCAATATACGATTTACTACTTGTAATAAATTGTGTTTTATTATATAATTTTCAACATGTAAGTTTTTAACTTTTAACTTTTAATTTGTTTCATAAACTGAATGTGACAATGTAAACGGGGCTCGGCGGTGTAACAATATGGGTCTTCTTCATGCTCTGGCCATTTATTATATATAAACGATCTTTCTTATTGTAAACTTTGTTAAACGACAAAGAAAATAAATAAATATCTACTGCTAATTCCATAGATTATATGAGATAATACATACGCTGTTGTCATGTTATTTAAATTATGACAGTCTTGGTGAAGTTGCTTAAGATGATATGTTTTTAGATGTTCAAGATGAGATGGTGCTTTTCATTAAGAAAAGCGCAATTTTTTAAAATTATTCTCCGCGGAGCTTTATTTTGGTATTTCAAGAACGAAAGTTTTTTCAAAAATTAGTATCGTATCATTAAGAATGGATTAATATTTCAACACAACACAAACATTCATACACTAATGTCTAATAGCTAATGTACCTTCTGGTTGACGTAAAAAAAAAATTTTGTGCATTGATCAGATCCCACGCCACCAATTTTTCTTAGGAGTTCCAATTTCGAATGATTTTTTATGTTTAAAGCATAATTTTCAGAATATTTTAGAATTGCGATCGACCAAATCCGATTCCTGAAGCTGCACGATTATATGCAAAATCGCTTAATATTTTTTTTTCTTCTTCATCTAAAATAGTTGGATATCCAGGTTTGGCTCCCATTTCAGTTATTCCAGAAAGTCGAACTTGTAACGAGCATCTTGGATTGTAAAAAGTTTTACATTTTTAACAGCTTTAATTGATGATATCGTTGACTCATCATTCCATAACGGTGTTTTCCGCGTTTGCTTCTCTGTTTTTCAATTTTCGTTGATTTTTTTATTTTTTTAAATTTATTATTTTTTTCATTCTAAAATAAAGGCCAAAAAAAAACTTAAATATTTAAATAAAAAAAAAATTTAAAACTTAAATATAAAATGATTATGACTAAATATCTGTCTAAAAATGAATGTTTCAATGATTATGTACTCTACATTACAATCATATACATGTACTTTTAATAACATCGTACGTACACACGTGATTTAGATTCTTTACACCTAAAGACCTCTAAGGTTTTCTATAACATCATTTTTTGTAAAATGAAATTATCAAAAATTTAAAGCAAATTTTCAAAACTGAACTCTCTTACCTACAAATTTTCTCTCTTACCTACAGTCATTGGGGCTGAGGTTAAAAACTAGTCTCTAATACATAAACATCTTTATCTGTGTTTTATTGATTAATTTATAAACTATGTATAGCATAGGAACAGCCACAAATAGTCATTAAGACTAATCCAAAGTAGCGTCCATTATTAACCAACATTTTTGCGTAGCGAATTACTACTCAAGCGCTGAGTTGGCGGCGGCAGGATTTGAACTCGTATCTTACAACTGTCCGGGTTTAAACTTTTTGTTCGACACTCTAACCAACTGAGCTATCCAGCCACAATCTTGGACCAAATTTTGCACCATCGTTTAAAAAGTTACTATATATGGAAATTTATACCGATCGAATCTTTTGATTTATGTTAAGAAAAAGATACTAAAAAATTTGATGCAAAAAAGATTCTACAAAACGTGAGTGAAATTCTTATTAAAAATATAAAACCAAAATAACTCGATAATTTAACAAAACAAAAAAGGTTATCTTTAAATACCTTAAAGAAAAAAATTAATGGTATATCAGTTTATCCATTTGATAAAGGATCAGGATTTATACGGATAAATGAAGTGGACGCATTTTATAAATTAGAAGAGGAAATTAAACATTTAGTTACTATCAATTATGACCCAACTCAAACCGCTTTGATTAAATTCCAGAAACTGTTATGCGAATTATGAAAACAGAAAAAGTTAGATAACAAGACTTATTTTCAAATGTACCCTCTGACTTCGTCCCTCCATATTTATATGGAGTCATAAAAGCTTATAAACCAGAAAAGAATTATCCGAGGCGGCCAGTCGTTTCTATTATAGGTACCCGACCGTCATCAGAATATCTTGTAAAAATTATACAGCCAGCCTTAAACAAAAATAAAACAAGAAACAAGATAAATTCTTCCTCGTTTGTCAACAAAGCGAAATCTTGGTTATTTGATCCTATTGAAATTTAAGTCTCTTTTAATGTGGTGGCATTATTTCTCTTCGCTCCAATTAATGGAGCAATTTCTGTGATTATCGATGTTTTAACCATGATATTGACATGATATTGACCTTAAAAAAAAAAACAAATAAAATCTTAGAGATAT